CTGTTTAATCAATTTAATACCACCTCGATCCCAACTGTGCTCAACTCTTTTGTGCTTGTAAATGTTTCCCGAAATATTCTGCTGGCATATATCGCACCAAACCATTTTGCGTTTCCTGTTTAAATTATAAAATAATTGTTGATATAAAAAATGTTAAACTGAGAGTGAAGAGCGATTGAGGTTAGAATATCACGAAAATGTGCATATGATTCTAAACGTTCTAAACTCATTTATTGGTTTTTTTCTCTCTGCTTTACATTTCTTGTTACTGTAAAATCACTTTTCAACAATTTATGAAATCGTATTCAATCTAAACACAATAAAATCACAAAATAACTTACAGTTTGCACACAAAAATTTAATTTTTTTCAACTAATAGGAACTCTCGCAAAATTGCGTTATGAAAATAATGTGTTTACGGTTTTGACAGATTATTAATGTCAACGTATACGTATACGTAAACACTTTCTCCACATTGTGGAGAAAAAAACAGATATGTGGCATACCAAGAGATGGTGTTGTATGTTATGAATCTTTTTTCATTGTTTGACATCAGGGGGGGTTGGAATTAATTGTCCAATCTATTGTCAATATATAATGAAAAATAATTTCTACAATCGAATCACTTATCGCAAAATGGTACAAAACTAAGCAGTGAAAGCAACATGTCACCAACGAAATCTTAAACATTTAAAATAGGCAATGGAGTTATGATATGTCAATAACAAAACATCTTCGGTTGTTATTAATGTGATCGATGATTACGATTTTTCTCACTTAGATTGTTGCCATTCATCAAACAAAAACTATTTTTCTATCTATTGGATTTGAGAGAGTGTATTTCTTTGTAATTTATTCTGAAAAACTTCGATTTAAAGAAAACCGAATAAAAAACAAATAAGCAAATCCATATTTAACCGAATAAACATTTTTGCAATTTGAAGTGAGTTATCAAAAATGTATACTATTTGATAAGATACGAAGTTAATGAACCCTAATAAAATGTTGATCTTAAAAAGAGCTATTGAAGCTATTAACGCTACTGACGTTTCATGATTTATTTAGAAAAAACTGATTCGAGTGATTTGAACATCTATCTAAAATTGTATAAGCACATTCTACTCAAAAAATATCAATGGAAACTATAGAACCAAGTGTATTAGTTACCGATAAAGGTATATATTAAATTCGAATAATAAAATGATGGCAAAATATGTTGTCAATACATCGTTTTGTTTCATTTAAAAAGTTCAGTTGTTCAATTGTATTCATTTAAGGTCGAAAAAATTCATTGCTTCCAGCGCTCTATTAGTGCTCTTCATCACCGAAAAGCTGAAAAAAGATGAAAATGTTGCAACTACACAATTTCATGCGTTCACAATGTTGGTGTATTTTGCAAACATATTCGGTGGCATCCTAAGTGATAATTGGCTGGGAAAATTTAAAACAATGTTTTACTTGTTGTTGATCTATTGCACTGGTATTATTGTGTTGGATGTTGCTGCGTTTCCAACTATTGGTATTTCACGTGAAAATCTTTCGTACATCGGTTTGTTACTTATGGCTTTTGGCGCAGGTGGTATTGTTCCATGCGAATCGGCATTTGTTGGCGATCAATTCAAACTTCCCGAACAGGCTAACTATATGACAAAGTTTTTTTCCATTTATTATGCAATCATAAATGCTGCTGCATTGGTTTCAATGACCGTTACACCAATGTTGCGAGCAAAATTTAAATGCTTTGGAGATGATGATTGCTATTCGCTTGCATTTGGAGTATCCGTCAGTTTTTTGATCACAGGAATTGGTAAATTGTATAAATTTTGTGTCGTGTTCGTGATAACAGCTCAGCTACAGGTAGTTTATGTGTATTTCTTATGGTTCATGGGCACATATGGGTGGTCTAAGTGCAGTTTGAATATATCTCATGGGACAAGATCCTTTCCATGAGATGGTTTTACGTTGGATAAAATCAACTTTTGTCGGCAAAAATCTTTGCCGTGCCCAACTGTGAAACATATGTCCACAACTACAATATTAACGTCTATTTAAAAGTGAACTTGCGGCTGGGAAATTAGATCGAATATAAATCTGATTTTTTCAGATTCACATATATTTAAAACTCAAAATTATTGGTTTACTTGACCTTTACTTTCAGTTTTATTCTTATCTGGTAAAAAGTGGTACACAAAAAATAAAGCATCTGGAAATTCAATGTTTCAAGTCTTCAAATGTATAACGGTAAGACATTTTTGTATTTTTTTTTAAATATTCTTAGTGTTTAGTAAATCAGTATTCAATTCGCTATTGATTTCCTTTACAGCATGC